ATAAAGTAAGTTGTGGAAAAACTTTCCCAATATGACCAATTTATGTAACATTTAAAACACAGGGGTGCCTGGGTGGCTCAGATGGTTAAGTGTTTGTCTTCAGCTCGGGTCACAATCTCCAGGTCTCGGGATTGAGCTCCATATCGGGCTCCCTGCTCAGCGGGGAGCCTGCTTCTCCCTCTCCCTCTGCCTCTTCTCCTTCTTGTGCTCTGTCTCTCAAACAAATAAATAAAATCTTAAAAAAAAAACAAACAAAAAACATTTAAAAACACAAAACAACAGGAGCATCTGGGTGGCTCAGTCAGTTAAGTGTCTGACTCTGGCCCAGGTCATGATCTCAGGGTCCTGTGGGGGGCTCCCTGCTCAGCACAGAATCTGCTTCTCCCTCTTCCTCTGCTCCTTCCCCTGCTCATGCTCTGGCGTGCACCCTCACTCTTTCTCTCTCAAATAAGCAAAATCTTTTGGGGAAAAAAACCACACACACAAAACAACATAGACAGTCCTTGTTACTGGAATCCAGTCTGTTCCTAAAAGTGTGTTACAGTGTGAATTTTCAGGTAGCAGAGTCTGTATTACATCATTCAAAAACAGGAAAAATCACATGTTCCTGGCTCATCCAAAACTCCAAACAATTTTTTTCCCAAGCTATGAAATACTCTTAAATATCTACATAATAACCTACCAAGAATTTCTATAAAATAGAAAGCATCGGGGCACCTGGGTGGCTCAGTCATTAAGCGTCTGCCTTAGCTCGGGTCATGATCCCAGGGTCCTGGGATCGAGCCCCGCATCGGGCTCCCTGCTCGGCGGGAAGCCTGCTTCTCTCTCTCCCACTCACCCTGCTTGTGCTCCCTCTCTCGCTGAATCTGTCAAATAAATAAAATCTTTAAAAAAAAAACAAAAAACAAAAAGCATCTAAAATACCAATGACCTATTTTAACCCCGAGATAACTGACTCAGTGTAAGACTCAGTGATGAGGCACAATATGGAGTCCATTATATTCCCAGGTAGGCATTCCCTTGTCTCAATGAGCTTTAGCATTCCCACATGTTCTGCAAATGCAGGGAAATCTGTGGTCCTCTTTTGCTCACCTACTTTCTTCATAGGTTTTTCTGCATGTCACAGGACATTTTCATTAGTAATGTGGGGAAGATGACAGAAATATTGTACAACACATTTAACAACTCAAAGTGAACAGGAGACCAGGTCCTATCAGGAAAAGAGCAGAAGTAACACTGAAATACACTCCACAGCCTCTTCCCCAGACTCATGCCCAACTGAAAACATCTTTACTGGTGTGCTCATGACAATTTATTATAGTGGGTTTTGATTCAGTTAAATGTCATAAGCATTTCTGCAAGTCGTCACGGCAAAGAGTAAGCCTTCAAACAGTGGGGGTACTGACACTATATGGACACGGTCATAGTAAATGCACAGAAGTACAGAAAGAGACAATTTCAGAATAGTGATTATCTCTGGGGAAGGGGTGAGAGAAACAGAATCAAGAAGGGACCCTAAAGGGAGTTTTAGCTACCTTTTTCTTTTTAAAAAGTGAGATAAATGGGGTGAGATATTATCATTAAAATAAGGGATCATGGGTACATTATTTTCTGTACCTTTTCATAAAATATGAAGGACCAATAACATTCTTAACCTGTCTGATGCACGCCAGACGCCTGCCAGCATTAAGCAGCCCACGGATTCAAAGGAATCTGAATTCAATACCAAACAAGAATCTGAATTTGATTTTAGGGCAGGAGAACCAGTGTGTGTCTTTTTGTGGCACCCTAACACCCTTCACAAGTCTGCCTCCCATCAGAACTGCCATCCTTCGAACCTCTACCTTTCCCCACTCAATCATTCACAATCCCTCTATCTGTACTACGATGCTCAGGCCATAGTGGCCTCCATCTCCAGGTCTTTTTATCCCTGGATTTTCAGGGCCAAGTCCTCACCTTCTTCAAATTCTTGCTAAAAGTCTTACCTTCTCAATGACTGCCTTATTTGAAATTGCAAACTGGGTCCCCAGAACCCCTGGTCACCCATCTTCCCTACTTCCCTTTTTGCCAGGGTACTTATCATTTTCTAGCACACTGTATAATTTACTTCCTACACTGAAACCCCATTATGCAAAAACTTTGGGGTGTTTCATTCTTGATGAATCACAAGTGTCTAGCAATAGCACCTAGCACACAGAGGGCAAATACTTGGTAAAGTGATTAATAAAACAATTTTCCTATGTTACAGTACTCTCTGGGACTAATAGAACAAGCCACTATCCTCTGTATCTCCAATACTCCACAAGTATATACTCCTCTCAAATCATCTGCTTGTATGCCCATTTCCTGTGGATTCTGATTCAGAGTCTAACACAGAGTGAGATACTCAATGTTTGTGGAAGGAATGAAATTCAAGGTCTTGAACATAAAATATTAAGTTTCACTCAGGGCAGACCGCTTCTACTATAAACTCACACTCAGGTAAATTAATTGCAGATACCTCTTTTTTTAAAAAGATTTTTATTTATTTATTTGACAGAGAGAGACACAGCGAGAGAGGGAACACAAGCAGGGGGAGCGGGAGAGGGAGAAGCAGGCTTCCCGCGGAGCAGGGAGCCCGATGCGGGGCTTGATCCCAGGACCCTGGGATCATGACCTGAGCCGAAGGCAGACGCTTAACGACTGAGCCACCCAGGCGCCCCGCAGATACCTCTTTTTAAAGGTCACCTTAAGGCACAAAGGGCTGCTACTTGATTCACACTTTCTTTCTACTACAAGGACAATAAAAAGATGCATTTAATGATGCCATAAAAATAAGCATTACCTTACACACTCAAATCTAAAAGAAATCAGGTCAAATTTAATTAAGGTCAGGTAGCTAGATTTAAGAAAGACGGTACTTCTCTCTACTTTTGGTTACATTTTTATTATCCTCTATTTTGGCAGAGAAGCAGTGTAGCCAAAAGTTTGCCTATACTAATTAAAAGTTTTAGAGAGCAATTTTAAAAATATATAAAAGCTGGTGGTGGCAAATCGTAAAAATGGCCACAAATTCTTGGACCCACTTTCCATTTGATGTGGTATCTGATTTCCCATGCTCTGCAATCTGGACTGGCCTTAGTGACCTGCCTGTTAACAACAAATCAGCAAAGGTCATGGAGTTTCAGCAGGTTATTTGGGAACACTTGCTCTGAAGCATCCCCTCTGGATTCCCAGTCACCATGCTATGAGGAGCCCATGACTCATAGGAAAGACATGTGAAGGTGCTCTGGTCAACAGCCTCAGTTGAGCCCAGTGTTCAAGTCACTTCAGCCCAAGTGACATGGGAGGGAAGAAGCTTCCAGATGATCCCAGCCCCTAGCCATCTAAGTCCTCCCGGAGGCTTGGGTCTTCCAAGCTCAAGCCCTGGATATTATGGAGCAAAGACAAGCCATCCCTGCTGTGCCCTGACCGAATTCCTGACCTGCAGAATCCGTGAGCATAATAAGATGGCTGTTGTTTCACACCACTAAGCTGGGGGAGGGCGGGGGGGGGCGGTCAGAGAGGCAATAAATAAACTGGAAAATGAGTGCTAACCCAAAACCTGTAACTAATTACCACATTTCATTTTCTCACCACCAGCAGAGCCTAGATTTCATTACTTAGTACAGATAAGTCATATATGCAGAGGTCACATATCACACAGATCCACGTTCTAGGACAGGGCAAAGAAATTATCCAAAATTAACTCTGATAGCTGTTAGCCATTCAATTTAGTCACCTTTCTGTACCCTGAATCAATAAGGTTGATGCACCTATGTGAAGTAACTAGATAATTGCTAGCTATATAAACATATATCTCAGATCAAAACACACTACTTCTACTAACACCATGAGGAAGGACAGAAGATAATGTAGCTACTGTTAAGAGGCGGTTACTCCCAAGGCTCCATGCTGTGTTCACAACATGAATGAAATATTTTCTTTCCCAAGGAATCAATTCATGAAACTGAAAATGATCAACAGTTTGAAAATCTATTTCCAAAAATCTCTCGTTAGAGATAAGAATATACCACAGATGAGAAAAAAATTAAGGAAAAATTCTGATATAAGAAAACAGGTTTGCATCCATCAAAATCAGATTACTTTCTTCTTGTTTTCCAATACAAATCAAAACAATCTTACCATAAAATTTATATAAATGAAGAGTGGAGAGCTCAAGGCCGATAGTGTAAAATCTTTTACAAGAATAAAACTCATTTTAGAAGCATTTAAAAAGCAAGTAAAATTAATGTATGTCTCATACAATGGAAATACTTTTAGAAGTAAAACAAAACAAAACAAAAATCCCAATTGTTCTAACTTTTCTGCAATCAACACTGCCCTCTAGTGATGCAGAATAAAAGTAAAATAAAAAAGCAAGTACCACATTTTATTTATTGTTCATTTCAGTGTGTTTATGTCAGAGCATATAGTTTGGACTACAAATTCCACCAAAGACAGAATAAACAGGATGACTTTTATTACCTATTGTTAAATTAGAAACTCTTTAAAAAGGCATTAAATCAAGGACATTAATACATGCAAAGAGCAGCTTTTAAATACAATGGGAATGAAACATCGCTACACAGTGAGTTACATCTTCATACAAAATTCAGGAAAGACCCTGCAACTTAGACCCTAAGACCTTAAGACCCTGCAAAATTCATACAATTCAGGAAAGACCCTGCAGCTTATCACTGAAGACTTATGAAAATAGGTAGAACAGTAAGATTAAATAAAGCATCACCATCTATAAACAAGAAAATTCAATAGGAAGCAAGCCAGGCTAGTTCTCATGGCAGATGTGTATCAAACACACTGAAAAATGTCCGTAGCAACCAAGGCCTCACACACCTGACAGTTCTGCCCAGTAGTATACCCGACTCCTCATTTTAGGAAAAAAGTTCGAGGAAAAGAGCATGTTTGGTTGCTAAGCATTTATTGAGCAGAGGAAGTTTTCCAAGAAAACAGAGACTTACCAAGGGTCGTGCCATCCTGCCCCATGATGCACTTCATAGAGGTGACAATCTGTTCCACGACAGGTGGCGACAGTGACGTGGCGTACACAGCACTGTGAGAATGTGTCCGCAGATAGTCTATCAGCTCCTGGGGAGTTCACAGAAGCAAGGCGTTAGAGGGAAAGCCTGAATTCTCTGCAATGTCACTGAACTCCTTCCAGGTGCAAGCACACTCTTCCTCCCTTCACCACCACTGGAAGAGGGACACTAATCTGAGATGCAGAGGTCAGAGGATACTATCAGCAACAACTGCATCTGACACATGCCAACCTCCTTAGGCTCAGGCTTTGTTTTGTTTTTTAAACATGCCACAACATGAAAGAAAGAAAAACTAGTTTTAAAGAAGCCCTCTAAATTTGGAGAACATATCACTTAATGTTATAAACAGATCTACAATGCTGAATTAAAGTGCTTAGATTGCTTTTCAGACACAATAATTCACTTATAACTATTACAAAAAATATCATCTGCATATTACCCTATACCTGCAAAGCCCTGAGTAAGAGAAAGACAGTTCTCTAACAACAATTTTAAAGGGATTAAATGTCCTCCAGATACACAGAAGTTTATAAAATGATATAAATATGGCAGAAATTAAATAGAAATTCACTGGGTCTTTCATGAGAACAGGAAAGCCATCTCACTGAATAAAGAAAAACTTTGTATGTCAGTTACAAGGAGTCCAAAACAATCAGTTGTATATCCCTATTCTCTCCTTTTAACTTCACTAAATCTTTAAATAAAATGTGCAAAGTAGCTTACGTACCAGAACTCAACAAGGAGATACAAAATAGGACTGTAAAACAGTATATCACTTCAAAAACACTAAAAACTGTACAAAAGCCACAAAAGCATAGATACACCAGACCTATGATGTCCCAGATTATTACTTTAAGTCCTTTGGTTTAGCAATAAATCTTACCAAAAAGCAAGCAACTTTCCAAAGTGAGCCTGGTCCCATTAACAAAAATTTGAGGTAAAAATCTATCAAACTTGACTAAAACCACTAATGAGTTTTCTCTAAAAGGCAATCAATTATTAAGAGAAAGTCCATGCTTTAAGTTTCCCAATGTCAAGTTTTAAAAAGGAATTAAAGATATTTATGAGCTCCTACTACATGCCACATACAAATACTTGACAATGTATTTTTAGTAATACTATGGAGTTTTTTTTTTACAGTAACAGTTTTATTGAGATATAATTCACTTTTCTAAAGTGTACAGTTCAGTGGCTTTTAGTATATTCACAGAGCTGTGCAACTTTCATCACTAATTTTTTTTAAAAATTTAATTAATTAATTATTAAGTAGGCTCCACACCCAACATGGGACTTGAACTCACGACTCCAGGATCAAGAGTCATACGCTCTACCGACTGAGCCAGCCAGGCACCCCCACTATCTAATTTTAGAACATTTCATTATCTCAGAAAGAAACCCTCATACCCATCAGAAGTCACCTGCCACTCACCCCATCCCCTCAGCCCTTGGCAACTACGAATGTACCTTCTGTCTCTGATTTACCTGTTCCGCATATATCACATAAAAGAAATACTACATGACCTTTTGTGATTGACTTCTTTAAATTAACACAATGTTTTCAAGTTCATCCACGTTGTAGCATGGACGTACACTATTCTTTCAACCCTTACTACAATCTTATAAGCTGGGCATATTTATTTCTGTTTTACTGATAAGGAAATGGGAAGGTTAAATGCTTTGCCCCAGGGCTCACAAAATTAGGGAAATATTCAAACCTAGGCCTCTGTCTCAACCATTTCCACCACACCACATTGATTCTCAAATGCCTCAGAATTCATTACACAATTTTTAAATTGAAAAATACAATGCCTTATAGTAAACCAGAGCAGGCAAAATAATCTTTTAACTTTCTATCCTTATGCTCACCCAAGATGCATTTGAGGCCAAGGGCAAGGAAACTGGTCTTCTATTCCCACTGGCTCTCATTATAAACTCACTACTTTTGAAACTGTGGGTACAACTCAAACCCAGAAGAAGACTGTGGCAAACAGGCACCACCACTGTGTGTCCTTTCATATAAGAGGGTGTTCTGTATGTCAGACCAGCATGTGGTTTAGAAAGAAGCTCAAGTAAGAAAACAACAAACAATGAACAGAACCAGCCTTTAGTTCATCAGTCACTCACTGAGCAGCTCAAGTGTGAAGCCCACTGGCACTGTGAGCCTACGCCACAAACAAATTCAGGATCTCCACATCCCAGTTCGGGATGCTTACCTGCCACACGCTGAGCTACCAAATGTGGTAGCCAGAACCACCTTTACCCTTAATTGTTCAATTTGCATGCCCATTTACCTTCTTGCCTCCAATGTATCCTCCAGAAGCACCAAAGCTCTTTGTGAATGTGCCCATCATAACGTCCACATCCTCAGGATCCAGGCCAAAGTAATCTACCACACCTCGACCTCTAGGGCCCAGAGCCCCAATGCTGTGAGCTTCATCTAGATATAAGTATGCCTTGTATTTCTTCTTAAGGGCAATCACTTCAGGAAGGCGAACAATAGATCCCTCCATGCTGGCAAAATGGATAAAAAATACACACACTGAGACTTTTTAACTCTCAAAATTAGGAGTTGGTCACCTTACTACTACTATTAATTTTCCCAGTTTATTGCTTTTTTAAATGGTTTGACAACTCTGCCTGTGATTTTAAACTGGCAAAGTTAAATGATGCCATGGCTAGGCAGATGTCTAGGGGAAAGGAAACTGGATCTTTTCAAACAAGCACCAGAAGAGAATTGACCTTAATTCACCCCAGATGGATAAAGGTCACAGCAGATTCTTCTAACACTTGCAATGACAGGCAAGGTTAGATTTTGCATTACACTGCAGATGAAATTAAAATAGCAGAATAAAAGAATAAAAAAGATAGGTGGTAAGAGAGTTAAGTGCAAGGGCTGCAAATAAACCCAAATAAAATTGTTCTTAAAATGGAATGATGTAGAATTTGTTTTGACACATTAGAAAACATATTCCAATTCTTGTCCCTATGTATACATTCCCTCTACAAACAGTAGAAAAATAAAGGATGCAAAAAGAAAGGGAATTTGAAGACCATTAGCAAGATGGAAAGAATAAAGAAAAGCCAGACAAAAGACTTCTGTGCCAGTGCTGACTCTGCTTCCAGGTATTTTATCAAGTCATAAACACTGCCTCCTTGGTGTCCAGAGGGGTCCAGATTACTGTTCCCTTCTGCTTAAAAACTCTGTAACTTCCTGGAGCCAAATCAGAAAGATAAGAATAAGAAAACAGGATTACCTATATATTCCCTCCACAAGGATTAGAATTTTCTTCCAGGGCCTTCGTGTCCGAGGCTGACCATAAACAATGGCATCTTTCAACAGCTTCTCTAGGCTTTGCATATCTGTATGGAGCACACAAAAAAGAATTTCAACACAAAGTACCTTCCTCTTTCTGAACCCTACTTCCCAAATGCAAATACACATTTCTTCTTCAGGAAGTGTGTCTCAGATGGCACAGGACATTAACATAATCATAACTGAGCAGGAAAAGATAAGGCAAAATGGGTGAGCTACTGCTAGCTTGAATGACAATCTCATCTAAAACGTAATGAATGTTCAAAACCACGGAAACTCCACTAAATGACTGTGGCACAGGCAGTTCCACTGGGTAGCATGCCTGTGAAATGACTGATGTTTCGTGTTAAATACCAGGCCGTTCAGTTAGTGGGGTTTGTTTGTTTTGTTTTGTTGTTTTGTATTTGTAGAGTCAACTGTATCTTTAATCCTAGTGAGTCATCCAGAAATACATGCATAAAGAAGACTGAGCAAGAGAGTGCAAATAAACAAATCCATACACCTCCTAAAAAGCAAATATGGGGGAGAATTCAAAGTGTACGCCCCATTTCCTTTCACCTAGGATACCCTCAATAAACGCTTGTTAAATAGCTTTATCTTAGCAGTGGGCTCAAAATACACCAGTCTGGGCATGCATGAGACTATGTGGTAAGAAAGCTTGGCAATCAGTTGAGACTTCCATGTTTGACTTGATCAGCTCTCTTGGTCCTTAAGGATGGTTACCAGGCCCAGAAACAACTTGGCTGGTACTACCACTAATGAGGATCATAATTTTCCTGTTAAAGATAAATGCTGTGAAGACCACTGTTACCACGACAGCAGAATTCATACTTAAAATATCTGCCCTGAAATAATGGCCTTAAGGACCTTTCCCCCAAAATCTATGCACTATCAAGTCTGGGGTATATTTAACAGGGGTGGAAGGCACCCCATCATGAAATGTGATTTTATATTCTTTATTGCTCAGGACTGAAGGAGGGGGTTACAAAGTTACATGATTTTGCTCTTTCTATGAAAGGACTTTGGTTAGGAAAGAGAAGGAAGGTAATAAAAACACATACCACAAGTGAGATGGCTAAAGGTTGTGACTGTGTTCATCCCTTCGGTTATTCAGAACAAAACAGTCTGCTACCTAACCCACAGAGGAGATGCTACCACAGAAGTATGTCTATTGTGAAGCTGCTATTTCTGCTGCAGAGACCAATGTGTGGCACCCAGCAGGAGACAAATAAAAATGCACTCATTGTTTTAGCTTCCTCTGTTTATATACAGAAAGGAAGAGAAAAATATTGACTCAAAATTTTAGATGAAAGGAAGTACCTATACAATGCTTGACCATTATCACCTACTCAGGGAAAAAAAATTCAATTATCTCTCTCATATTATGCTTCCTAAATTCCATGCAAATTAAAGATTTAAATAAAAAATATACCACAAAACCACGAAAAGAAAATATAAGAGAGTAACTTTATGATCTTAAAACGGGGGAGGCATTATGCAAAATCTAAAACTCATAAGAATAAATGTGCCAACATCACCAGTTTAATAAATCTACCAGCAAGACACTAAAAGTTAAAAACGAAATAAAAAATATTGCAACGTAGAAAAAAGAGTAATTAATATAAAGGGCTCTTATACTCAGTGGAAAACAGAAACAGCTTGAAAATGGCCAATTCACAAAGAAATACAAACACAATTAACTGTATAAAAAAGTTGCTTAAAACCTAATAATCAAAGAAACAGAAATTAACATGTTATTGACTTATTCAACTAGAAAATATTTTAAGTGATTCATAATGTCCTATGTCAGCCTGTAAGTAGAGTCACTGTCATGTTGTTGAGTAAAAATTTGTACCATATTTGGAGGCAATTTGGAAAAGTCTAAAAATTTTATAACCTTTTAATCAGGCATCCTAAGACTGCTAGGAATTTATCCTAAGGCATTAATCAGACCACTGAGCAAAAATGTGAGTAGGTAGTACTGTTTCTAGTAGAAAAATTTAGAAACCACCTTGATGTCCAAATTGAGGGATGGACTGAATGAGGGCAACTCTAGACACCACCTGCCACCCTGGCCTTAGGGGAGGAGGAGAGTCACATGGACTGTCAAACAAAGTTCACGATGTGTTTTAAGGAAATAGGTTACACAATTGTGCTTAATAATGCCATGTACTTCATAAAACAAAATACTGTATGGGGGCGCCTGGGTGGCTCAGTCGTTAAGCGTCTGCCTTCGGCTCAGGTCATGATCCCAGGGTCCTGGGATCGAGCCCCGCATCGGGCTCCCTGCTCCGCGGGAAGCCTGCTTCTCCCTCTCCCATTCCCCCCTGCTTGTGTTCCCTCTCTCACTCTGTCTCTCTCTGTCAAATAAATACAATCTTTAAAAAAAAAACAAAAAACAAAAAACAAAATACTGTATGTATCATTCTCATTATAAAACATTTTAGACAAGACAAAGACAGAAGGAAGAAAGTTATTAGCATCCACACGCCTCCCAACCAGAGTACAGATCTAACATTTGGGTGTTTATTCTTCCAGACTTTTGTCTGTACGTGTACGCATTTTGGCAAAAAAATGGTATTAGATGTACAGTTTGGTAATCTTTCCTTCCTACATGCTAGTATTTTAACTGTAAAAGTTACTTTCTTCTTGTAAATCATTATTTTAATAATACACAAGACTCCTCCACTTGGGGAGCAAGTTCTGGCAGTGCTGTCTTCCTCTGTGAAGCAGCTGTTCACACCTGCACTCCAGTCCCTGTTCTGTATCGGTGGTATTCCACTAGGGCTTTCTCTAGAGTCTCTTCATTAACCGGCCAGAGCTCCTTAAGATGAGACCCTGCTTTATTCATCTCAGTAGCCCTGGTGTTACGGCAAGACACACCATAGGCATCTAGTAAATGCCTACTGAGCAAGTGACTCGTACACAAGGAAGATGAAAGAGCTGAAAGCTAAATAAAAGGAGAATATTGTATTTTGTACAGCCTCTGTAGAAATATGTATGAAATAGAGGCCGAAGAGGAAGAGGATAACTTTTAAAAGACTGGACCAGAAGGACACTTTAAATGTTGCTACATGCTTCATTTAGATCTTCCACTATTAATGTAACTAATGTTACCACTGCCATTAACCCAAAGAATATTAAACACTAAGGCTGCAGTGAATTCCACATCAAACTCACTGTTGTGTTTGAAGATTCGAATGGTTGCTCCCGAGAGTCTGGCTCCTAGAACCAGCGAAGCATGGTTCAGTTCATCACTCAGAATCAGGCAACCCTGCAAAACCACCAGCACAGAAAGATAAGAAGCTAGGGAGAAAGGTTTACTTACACAAATTACAAAATGCTAAAATCATTAATAATGGTATCGTACTAAGGAAAGCTTATAAAACAGCAAAATTATCAATTTCAAGAAGGAAAGTATACATGTTTTTGTTTTTGCAAAATTAACTTAGTTAAGTAGATACAAAATTCTAGACTTTTAATTTCTTCAGTCCTATGACTGACTTAAATATTCAGATATGTAGCAACAGGCTATTATTTATACCTAAAATCTGATATATCAGATAGTCTTCATGGGGTTTCAGTTTCGCTGGTTTGATGGCATTCCATATGAGTTTTGGTATGATGTGCTACTGTTTGTGGAAAAAGTGGTGGACAAGGGAGCTGAGGGAGTAAAACTTTCTTCCTCTCACTCCTAATAATACCCTGAATTCAATGAGGATTCCACTTACTAATACTCTCCCCACTGACATGAAGTGTAGGCCTCAATTTTGCCTTTAAAATCCCTCAATAAGCTCTACTTTAACATGTTAACATGAGTTTCTCCTAAGGCAACAAGAAAAGGCTGAAGTTCTCAGGGATTTTATTTCATCCCAGGTTCTTACTCTTCCACAGCTCAGGCCCTTCAACCTGTAAGAACTGAACTCAGAAACAGGTTTTTCTGCCAACAGTGTCCTCAAAATATCCACTTAGATTTTACAGTAAGGTGCAGAAAGTATCAGCATGTTCCCAGGAGAAAAAAAAAAGAAGACACACACACACACACTGATTTATAACAAAATATTCTTAGAGGGATACTTAAGAAACTCATAACAGCAGATGTCTGCAATTTTTACACTGTGCAAAATTTTTATTATTAAGATAAAAAGCTACCTAGTTAAAAACGTGTACATTAAAAAGGAGAAGTAGAGCTGGAGGTACCAGTATGGGCTGATGGGTTTTAAAATGTATATGTAAAGTATACACATACACACAGACCTGTATATGCATGAGTTAGTATACAAGCATATATTTTTCTAGCTCTAAGCACTGAGGGACAAGAAGCAGTGACACCCAAGTGACCGTAAACACAACAGACCTTGATTTCTAAATACCACCCTCCAGTAAAATGAACCAGGGCTCAATGGAGAACTGGTTGACCCCAAAGCTAAAATAGGTTTAAAAAAAAAAAAAAAAAGCTCAGAGCCTCTTGTCATGCTACAAAGTAAGAAAGTGCACTTCAGGGGGAAAAAAAAGGATGAGCACATATTCAAATGGCACAGGAGCCCACCTGAAAGATCTCCCAATGGCCAAAACTGGAACAACCCAAGCAACAAAATAAAGGGCAATCATGCTGGACCCAAATAATAAAATATTCACGAATCTATACTAATGTAAATGAATAGGGGAGAAGCAACAACTCTTCTTTCAGAAGAGTCAAGGTAAGGAAAGACAGAAACTGTCACACATTGGGAGACTGAGGAGATACCATGCAGATCCTCGACAGAAAATGGTATCGGTGGAAAACCTGGTGAAATTGAAATAAGTTCTGTACTTCAGTGAATTGTATTGTATCAAGGTTAATTTTTTGGGTCTGAAAAATTCCACTGTTATGTACGATATTAACATAAAAGGAAGCTGAGTGAAGGGTATACAAGAACTCTGTATTCTTTTACAACTCTAAATTAATCTTTGAAAAAAGTGTTAAAATTGGGGGGTGTGGAAAAGGAGAGAAACTGGGGAAGAAAATGAAGAGATACTGAATTTCTCTTCTGCAAGTCTTCAGCCCTTTACTTACCACTCTTGGCATTCCACTATACCTTAAAAGGATCCCCCTCCTTCCCCTCCATAAAATTTTATTTTCTTCTCTTTACAGCTCATTTTTTTCTTGACAAAATCTGCAATATAACTTGCTATTTGCCTCCTTTTTAGACAGCCTTATTCACCGTTTCTATGTATCAATCTACTATGAGGCTCTATTATATCGTTAGTTCAAAAATAAAATAAAAATTAAATGTCAGCAGTTAAAAGCTAAGTGCTTAATATGTTCCAGGCATTATGTTAAGGGTTTTAAAGGCAATATTACTTTTAATCCCCATGAAAAAAATTGATGAGGCAGGTACTATTATTATCCCCACTTTACATAAGAGGAAGCTCCCTTTTAGAGGAGTTACAAATCTTGCTCAAGGTCACAAGCTTAGTGAGTGTGACTCATTACAAAGCTTCTGCTTCCAGAACACATGATCTTAATTTATAATACACTACTTCCCGCCTTTAAGCTGAAAAATCAACCACCTCACAAATTTAGTATCAGATTCAAAGAAATATTAAAACTGGATTAGTTTCTGTCTTTAATGGATTAAATGATACTTAATAACATTCAGCTATAAAGTTTGATTTGAAAGATAAATCTTTAAGGTAGTATCTTCCAAGTCTGTATACAAGATCTCTAATTCTACATGATTAGTTTCTGAACATACAGGGAAGAGCAGGATGAGATCATTTAACCCTCTAGTGTGAAAAGTTCTGAGAAATTCCAAATAAGAATCTCAAGATTTATGCCACTCAAACGCAGGACAGGAATGTATTATAATCAATATGAAGTCAAAGAACTATACATTTATGTCTTTCGAGGTATCTGTCCATTGTATCTAAGTTGTTGAATTTACCAGCATAAAGTTGTTCTTAATATTTCCTGTTATCCTTTTAATGTCTGTAGGATGTGTAGTGATGTATCCTTTCTCATTCCTGCTACTGGTATTTGTGTCTTCTCTAGTTTTTGTCTTCACCATCACCAGTCTGGCTAGAGATTTATCAATTTTATTCATTTTCTCAAAGAACCACCTTTGCGGGGCACCTGGGGGCTTGCTTAGTTGGTTAAGTGTTTGCCTTTGGCTCAAGTCATGATCCCGGGGTCCTGGGATCGAGCCTCGGGTCTGGCTCCCTGCTCAGAGGGGAACCTGCTTCTCCCTCTCCCTCTGTCTCTCAAATAAATAAATAAAATCTTAAAAAAAAAAAAAGAACCACCTTGGTTTCACTCATTTTTCCTAATTCATTGACTTCTGAATTTGGCTTTATTTTATCCTTCCTCTATTTGAAATCTTTGGGTTTAATCTGCTCTTCTTTTTTGAAGTCCTTATGTAGATGTCTGATTCAAAACTTTTCTTTTTTTCTTAATACAAGCCCTTAACAGCTATATATTCCATCTGAGTATTGCTTTAGCTTCATCCCACATACTGTAATACGCTGAATTTCCATTTAGCTCGAAGTATTTTCTATTTTTCCTTTCTTCTTTGACTTATGGGTTATTTGGAAGTATGTTGTTTCATTTTCAAATATTTGAGGATTTTCCAGGTATCTTTGTGTTATTGATTTCTAATTTAATTCCATATGATCAGAGAACATACTTAGAATAATTTAAATTTTTAAAAATTTGTTGAGGCTTTTTTAACAGCCCAGAAAATGGTCTATCTTGGTAAATGTTTTGCTGTTGTTGGGTGAAGTGTTTCATAAATGTCAATTAAGTCAAGTTGGGTGATGTTTTTCAAGTGTTCCATAACCTTACTAAATTTCTGTCTAGTTCTTCTATCAATTATTCAGAGAGGGGAATGGAGATCTCTAATAATAATTATGTATTTGTCTATTTCTCCTTTCAATTTCTTCAACTTTTCCTTCATGTACTTTGAAGCTCTATTATTAGGTACCTACACGTTTAAAATTGTTATGTCTTTTTGGGACACCTGGGTGGCTGAGTCAGTTAAGCACGCAACTGTTGATTTCAGCTCAGGTCTGGACTCAGGGTCATGGGACTGAGCCCCATGCTAGGCTCTGTGCTCGACGCAAAGTCTGCTTGAGATTCTCTCTCCCTCTCTGTCTGCCCCTCCCGACCCCCCAATTTGTGCACTTGTGTGTGTGTGTGTGTGTGTGTATGTGCACGCACACGTGCGCTCTCTCTAAAAAAAATAAAAAATAAAAATCTTGAGGGCCCTTTCAAGCTGAGAGTGCCAACCTGCTAAAATGTGATTTACAGAGTTTCTTATCTCTTCTCTCCTTAACTGCCCCCTTACAAACTTTACCCACACATACACTTTTATTACTATTATTACTACTACTTTTAATCTTCATTATTATTAACTTATATTATTACTTTTAACCTGTATCATTACCTGTATTTTACATATGTACACATATTTTGCCCATGTATCTCTGAGCACGATGCATTATGATAGGAACAAGTATTAGGGTATTTATGTATTTTTGTATTTTTCTACTTAGGAAAAACCATCTGTTAAATAACCTTCCAAACTAAACATTCTTTCTTTCAAAATTTTAGCCTTTTATGAGGTTTTTATTTCTTAGAATCCCTTTCAAAACTATATGAAATGAAGAAGGCAAGAGTCATCTAATGGGAGTGAAAGAATCATGGGTTCTAGCAAGAAAGCTTCAACTGATGTAAGTCTCCTTGGGATATACTTATCGAAAATTTGTGATAGAAATATCTTTGGGTAGACCATGTGTAGTCTGAAGTTTACAACAGCCTTGGGCTTGCTCTGAATGCTTTACAAAACAAAATATACAAGAGAGTTTTCATAAATGACAGACTAAGTCTTACTTTGCCAACAAGAGCAGGAATGTTCATTGAATTTGTTGCAAATCCCATGCCATATGCCATAGCAGCTTCTACTCCCAAGAAACTTGCCACAAGCTTTTCTAGCTCTTCATGCTTGTCCAGGTTTCCTGTATGGAGAAGTTAATGAAGTTAATACTACCAAATCCCAAATTTAAAAATCACTCATTACTTTATAAAAAGAAATCATAGTCTACATGTGATGACCTTTTCAGACTAAGCTCCATGGAAGAGTATTATGAAGAGAAATGGCTGATAAAGGACACAGTAGTTGAATTCGCCACGTCTGATGGAATTCCTGCAAAGAAGGTTGCCAACTATTTCTCCCATTCCTGCTAACACATGCCAGTTCCAATACAGGCTTTAAGAGGCCTGGCAACATCTGCTTTTATACTTTTGGAGTCAGCTACCACGTAAAACCGTCTAACTAGCTGTTGTAAAGAGAAACCACATGGAGAGGGAGAAGCTCTGGAGGATAAGAGACTATCTGAAAGGGGAATGCAGGGCTCAGTCAGCCCTCACCTGATCCCAATACCCAGCTGAGGTGCCAAACATGTAAGTGAAGCCATCCTGGACACTCTGTCATCGGCCAGAATGCCCCACCCATATCACATGGAGTCAAGATAAATGTCAAGCCCTCCCCAAATCGCAGCATCAAGCAAATAAATGTATGTTTCTGTTTTAAGTCACTAAATTTTGGAGTGATATGTTATGTAGCAAAAGACAAATTAAAAAGCATCCTCCTTCACTTTGTATTGTGATTTTATATCAATACTCAAATCCTTAAGGACCAAACAAGACTGATCAATGATACTAGCTAAATGCAGAAAAGATGATGAGAAAAAAGACTGCTGAACTAGGATGCTACATGTCCTCAAAGCTTTAAGCAAGTCATTTAACCTCTCTGGGCTTCAGTTTCTTATCTGCTAAATACTAATAATAATATTTGCTCTATCTACCTCATGATATTGTTGAGGACCCAAAGAGAGAATAGGTTCAAGCAGTTTATAAAGTATAAAATGCCATAAAGATATAAGGTTTGATTACTATATGTCGTCACTGCACAATGCTTCCCTAACCACATCATTAAGGACCCTGAAGGTAAATGACCCAGCTACATTTGCCAGTCTTTAGATCCACGAGAAATAATGAGGAATTATTGTCTTAATCCACTAAGTTTTGGGGTGATTCACTGTAATAAATATCCTGGAAGTTGCCTTATAATTTCTATAGTAATCAGTTCTCTCAAACAAAATGGAAGAATTTGGAATCTTCCTATGAACAAAAATTAATTCTCTTCAGGGGCTCCTGGGTAGCTCAGTTGGTTAACTGCCTTTGGCTCAGGTCATGATCCTGGGGTTCTGGGTTCGAGCCCCGCATCTCGAGCTCCCTGCTCAGCCTGCTTCTCCCTCTGCACTCGCGCTACCTCAAATAAATAAACAAAATCTTTAAAAAAAAATTAATTCTCTTTATACAAACCTGTTCACCTTTACATTTTATAGACTTAATAATAATAAAAATAGTTAACATTGTTTTCCATGTCACAAGCACTTTACATGAATTAGCTGATTTAATTCTTTTTTTTTTTTTTTAAAGATTTCATTTATTTATTTGACAGACAGAGCGAGAGAGCACAAGCAGGAGGAGCAGGAGAAGGTGAGGGAGAAGCAGGCTCCCCGCCGAGCAGGGAGCCCGA